TACGTTTTTCGCGCAAATCTACAACTTGTTATGGTAAATACTTTTAGTTAGCGAATCGTATATTGCCAATATTATATGTTTTTTTTGTATAAAGAAATAATTAAGTTGGCGATAATTGTTTGTATTCCGTTTTTTGATGGCCTCTGCATGCTAAGATGGCGTAATTTTTCTTAGATATGGTTGGTGCTCGGGTACCAAATAAGCTAGTGATGATTTTCGTATGGAGGATGCAATTTTGTGTTACATAACATTTCGAAATAAATAAAATAAGGGATTATTGTTTAGTGCCTCTTTTTTGTATATCAACTACGAGCAAATGGTAGCCTATTGTCTTATTTGGATCATAACATAAATGATTTGACGTGGAGGATGAAATTGGAGTGTTTGCAGAGAATTGCCTTATCTGGATATTATCCATTTAACAGGGTCTGTGCATTGTGATCTTCATGGTGGAAACATAGTTCTGCATGGTGATGCGTCTGAGCTTAATTCATTTATTTACGATTTTGGTCTCTCACGATCCGTGAATTCACGGAGGTCAAATTCAACCATTCGGAGCGGTTCACCATTTATTGCACCGAAAGTCTTCTATACTTGCAAATTTACTTAGAAATCAGACGTATATTCTTTTGGTATCATCATGTATTTGATCGCCACCGGTGAACCACCTTTTCGAGATAGAGAATTTGATAGAAATTTAGTATGCGATATTTTGGGTGGACTACGACCACCGATGCCTGATTTGGCACCAGAAGAATACAAGGAACTTGCTCAGCGTTGTTGTGATGCTGATCCTGATAAGCGTCCAGATGCAGGAATACTTGCTGATTATATTGACAGTCTTATGGAAAAGATGAAAAATGATAGTTTTGACGTGTAGAATACTGTTTATCGTAATGACATAAAGCCCTTATTATGTCTTGAGAAAGAGAGTAAATATTCTAGTACACTCTTACCTACCAGAAATTTACCTAAAACCGGAAACAGCTATGCTTATTCATTGTAGGTAAAGACAACTCATTTGTATGAATGAAGTCGATTTACAATATTGGCACTGTCTATTGTAATTTAGTGACTCAAGATTTTGAAATAAACTTGCAATTTACTGGGTGTATTCAAATATTTATTCCTTTTTAAAGTTTATACTTGCTGTAAATGTAGCGCTTATCCGTGGTTAGCAATAAATATTCTACCTTAAAACATGTTTCATGATAATATGTTGATACTTGTCGAATTAACGATGAGTTTTGTCTGCAAAAATTAAAATCGTTGATGCGCAATGTATGTTGATGAGAGAGCTTTAATTCGAATTAACTGTAACCAATTACAATGTTGAATTTAAACCATAAACAAGACGAAGCTCCTCTTTTATCGACTGATCAATGAGTACAAAATTTTATGATGTGATAAATCCGTATATTAAATAAGGCTGGTTCCGCTTAATTTGGTGCATATGTCATCTTACCTTTATGAGCTGTTTTGCCACATTCGATTGTTTCTGCATGATGAAATAATAGCTTACGCAAACAATTTAGCTAGAATTGTAATCCCTAACTTTTAAGGGCAGGTTACTAAAATTAAAAATTTGATATCAATAGTTATTTTTGTTCAATGGTTCTGATTGGACAGACTAAAAATAAATGCACGTCAAAATTTACATAAGATGCATATTATTTTTTACTTGATAATTCTTACAAACTCACATATATACACATCATATGTACATAGAAGGGAATGAAATCAATACAGAAACCACATTAACAAACATTAAAGCCAATAATTTTTGGCAAATATCATACTTCTTTCCAAAGTCGAAGTAATTCCCTTCTTAGCTGTTACTAAAGCCGATTTCTCTATCATCTGTATGGCATACAGCAGTTCACCAACGCTACAAACTTGACTGTCAAGGACGACCCAAACAATCCGAATGTGCCTCCACCACCGTCACGACAGGGATTTAGCATGACCAAGGAAATCTATATTGCAATCTTTGCATTGTTACTTATTACAGTCGGCTGTATATTGTTGGCAGTTGTAACCAAGATTGTCTCGGCAAGCGTCCGCCTTTGGTTTTGATTATTATAATTCGTACCATAACTGCCTTAAGAAATGCGACAGGTCACATAGTGTTATGATGGGCACCGGCATCGCTTTTTTTGTTATTGAAGCAATATTGATACTGGTATATGAAACTTTCATGTGTGATCAACAGCCAAAAGCAACAGCGAAATGAAAATCTAACAATGCAGATAAATACACAGCCAATTGCAAGTTTTTTCGACAATCTCAATAGACTCTAATTTAGTCAAGGTGAGAATATCTTCCTGTATTTGCTTATTTGACTAAACAAATACATTATACCAACGTTTATAAGAGTTTTGAGTTCTAAGGACTTTTTGATTTTGGAATATGGTTCGGCATTCTACATCACATGTCAAGTTTTTAGAATGTGTTAAAAATTTCTTCATTACTAAGAATGTCCCTCAATTATATGTTGTGTACAAGAGACATCCATTTAATTGATAATATTGTTGAGAAAAATGTCAGACTCAAACTTGGAGTTGATGTTTCGTAATCACATTGATTCAATTACGCAGATTACATTTATAACATTCCCTCGCTAACATTAATGGAGAGTGAAATTACGTAACTGTGTTGTATGTCAGTTTAGAGATTGGAATAGCAAAGACTAATCCGGTAACAGCATATAACAATCTGCATTTGTTATAAAAATATATGTTATCTACTATTTGTAAATTTAGTGTAAAGAGTGAATAAGAATCTATATACATAATGGAAGAACTTGTGGTATTACTACTTTAAAGAGAATCAAGCATAGAATACCATTCTGCAACTTTGATATGACATAGAAATAAAGACAGCTATTTGATTAAGACAAAAAGTATTCTAACAACTTGTTGCTAATAGTATTAAAGGAAAGTTGAAACATCTATTATTATGAAGAATTTAAACGGCGATTTAATCCGAAGCCAATGAGACCGAGACCCAACTTGGATTAATGCGGCATTTTCAATAAATCCGAACTTGCTTTTTGAATGCAATAACTATCCGGAGACTCGGGCTTTGCGCATGTCAATGCGAAACCCAGCACCGGGAAGGCCTCGCCAGAAATTCAGGCTTAGATGATTTCTACTCTGTATGTTAGCATTCGATCATGCAACATAGTTTATCAACTTTTTACCTATTCCTTTTATTGTTTCCTATCTACGTAATTAATCAAGCTTGTCAAGACAACGCGTAGTTTGCATTGGGGAATTATTCACGTTTCATATCCGGTGGACCTTCTTTATGCTTTTCTAATGTTATCTACATTTCTGAGTGAAACAGTCTCGATTACTTCCGAATTACTTTGACTAGCTCTCAATGGTCATGCATAATACACGAGATATAGAATACATAAAACATTCTCCGTTCTCTAAACACATCGCATGTACCTATTCTTTCGTTTATCCTTTCAGTTAATTAACTTTGTGTGCACACATCAAAGAATAGAACAGTGACCTTTGTCAGATTATGATCTTGTATTTACTCTTTTTCAGATACCACATCTCCGCTGACTCTATCATGATACATTCTGAAAAACAAGACAAGATAGTGATTTACTTTAGACGTAAGCTGAACGTCAACCTTTAGCCTTTAAATAAAAGATAACGGACAACCGTCATCAGTTTTCTCTAAGTGCATGGTTACAAACTCTCAGTCCTGAGGTGTGCATTAAGGAGAGTTGACTGTATAATGTGAAAAAATAGTACAGACAAAACCCTTTAAGTGCATGCCATTGGGACCAGACCAGACCATGGCATGCATTTAGAGGGTGTCACTTAGAGGGTTTTGTCTGTAACAAATAATTGCATAATAGTACTGCAATGCTTTTTGTAAATTAAGAACAATAATAATAAAGCTTCAGTAAAACTACAAGATAAACAATGCAACAATGACACCAAAAAT